TGTATGTCTTGATATTTCTGTTTCTGCATCCTAATTTATTTTCCCTACCTTGTTTCTTTCTGAATATTTTGTACACTTGAAGGCTTTAGTTGGTTGCCTGTTCCATTTGTAATTTGAAGTCAACTGGGTAGCTTCAGATATTAACTTCCATATTCTTATCTCTTGGCCTTAAATATTTACAGCTTCAGACTATTATCAATTTGATGATCTATTGACGCCTGAGGAGCAGGCTGTCAGATTGAGAGTAAGACAGTGTTTAGAGAAACACGTTGCTCCTATTATGGCAGAGGTATTCCTTTTCATTAAACTCCCATTTGGAGGTGTTTGTGTATTTTTACATTAATTCTAAAACACTTAGTATGCTATGATGATTTAATATACATGTACAGACAATGAAATAGATCTCGGAATTTTGTTTTTTCAGTATTGGGAGAAGGCAGAGTTTCCATTTCATGTTATTCCAAAGTTTGGTGCATTGCGTATTGCTGGTGGCACGATCAAGGTACTTGATACATATCTTAATAGTTATTTTTAAATCTTGAGTTTGACAATTGGGTGGATGGGCTGTTAAACTTGTTTTTGGCTTTCTTGCTCTCAGGGTTATGGGTGTCCTGGTCTTTCTATTACAGCAAGTGCTTTTGCTACAGCTGAAATTGCTAGAGTTGATGCAAGCTGTTCTACTTTCTTCCTAGTTCATTCCTCACTTGCAATGCTAACTATTGGTTAGAATTTGGATAATCTTCTACTTTTGAGTTTTTGTATTTTAAATTAACAACCCTTCACTCCACTAACTAGAACTAAATATTTTTTTCGTTACCTTTAAAACGGACACTTTTTATTTTCTTGTACCGAAATACCCCTAAAAGTTAACAAAAATCCAAAAAATCTGATTTCTTCCTTCTTTCATCCTTATCACTGTTGTGAAGAGAGAATCCCATTCTTATTGTTTCCCTGAAAAGAAAGGTAAGCATCATACCCATTTGATTGTGTTAAAATTTTAATTTAGATAGAGTTTGTGATCGAAAAATCTGGTGTTATATGGTGGAATTGAAATGGAAGACACAACTTCCTTTTTAAAAAAAAGGACATAACACCCAACATTTTAGCTCACTCAAATGGGCATGATGCTTTCTTTCTTTTCATGGTGATCGGCGAATGATGAGATTGAGTTCCTCTTTTTGTGACAGTGAGAATGGATTTCCAGCTCTCTTGCTGATTGTGAGAATGGTTTCTCCGTGCAAATGCAAGAATTAGTTTATCTCCCTTAGCAGCATAGAGAAGGAAGATTCTGAGTTTGATGTAGGAAGGAAGAAGTGACGGGAGTCAAGGTTTTTTCATGCTGACCTTCAAAAGGAAGGAAGAAGAAGAATTTTGGTTGTA